GAAGTTCCAGCGCTCCTCACCCGAGCGCGGCTCGACGGCGCGCACCGTCTGCGTGTGCTGGCGCAGCACCAGCACGTCCTGCTGCGCGTCCGGCTGGGTGGGGCCGGGGCGCGCGCAGCCGTGCGGGCCGCACCGGTAGCGCAGCTGGCCGGTGCGCAGGTCAATGCCCAGCGTGGCCACTTGGCTGCCGCCCATGATGACCGTGTCGTCGGCGAACCGGTAGGAGGCCTGCAGCAGCGACTCGGCCGTGACCGGCAGCGGCTCCACCTGCTCGCCGTCGAACGTGAAGAGCCGACCGTCCAGCGACGGGATCAGCCGCACCCACTGGCCCTGCTGCGACAGCTGCAGGTTCTGCGTCAGCGTCGAGCTCAGCATGCCGGCCTCCTGCGCCTGCACGCTCCAGAGCAGCGCGCCGCCGTCGGCCGGGTCCAGCGCCGACAGCTGGCCATCCAGCGTGGAGACGAGTAGCAGGTGGCGGTCGGCGCCAGCGGCCGGCTGCAGCGCCGCGCTCTCCACCGTCTCCACCAGCGCCGGCGGGGCGCTGCCCGTGTACACCTCATTGTAGCGCAGCCGCTCGGAGTCGACCGGCTGGGCGCGTCGCGTGCCCGTCAGGCAGACGACGGCGGCGGCCAGCACCGTCCACCGCGCCCGCGACTGCATCGCTGCCGGCAGCGCTGCCGGCCGCTACTGGCGCGCCAAGCCGCATCTTACCTGCGAACGGAGGGCTTCATTAGCGCGCCACATGCGCACACAACTCCAAAACTTGCCGGCGGCCGGAGAGGCGCTTGCGGTCCGCGCTATTCAACGTCCATCGCCATACATTCAGTGGTGTGGTGCCAGGGCGTGTTGGCACATCGGCTTCAGGGGCACATGCCGCGGTTCACTTCCAACAAGTCACCTTGCAAACGGAGGTGGGCCCGGGTCATGGCCGGAGCCCGGCCGGTCTGGTCTGCCGTACAGTCGACCAAGACAGGAGACTTCACCGTCGCGAGGCTCTTTCGTCCGGCGACAGGGGCCGTTCCGAATAGGCCGCGGCCACGTCTTCCGTCCACGGCCCGACCTTACCATGTGGACTGACGCACGCGCTGGCAGCAGCGACTCCAACTCCCGCCGGACGCGCGGGAGGTGAACATCGGTAGCTGGACGTTCACCCTGGGGTGAACTCTCGCCCATGCCACGTAGAATCATAGGACCTGACAGTGCGCACCGCAGGCCTACCTAGCGCGGTTGGATACGTAGGACTACTGGTGCGTCACACCTCCAGAGCGGACATCCCGGCGGCGTCGTCAAGTCGGAGCGCTCGCGGCCAGTTCAGAGATTGCTGTAATCATTTATTATGGAAAATTCGCCAGTGGACATTGCACCATAACCTTTCATAGGCCCGCCAAGGACTACATTCGTAGGCTACTTCCGAACACGCGCTAAATCTTGCAGCAATGCGCCAGACGCCATACCGGACACCATACCGCTGAGCCCCATGCCATGTGGCCGCACGGCCGGCCTGAACCGCTGCTGGCTCGCTTGCTGCGCAGTAGCCGGGTGTGCCCCACCCCTCCCCGCCGTGCAGCCGTGCACCGGTATCGACCGACGGGCCCCGCACGCGTGCGCGAGGTGAGTCAGACAGTCGGTGGCGCCCAGCACCAAGCCCAGCGCCGGCGGCATCATAGCGAGACGGCGCCCGGAGGTTAGGACTGCACAGCATCCATCCGGCCTGGGAAATAACCAACGGCGTCCGACGCGGCCTGGACCACACATGGCCTCACTGGGCAAGGGCGTCGCCCCCTAGCGTCGAACCAAACCTTAGATACGAACTAAGACTTCTTCCTGAGCCATCAGGGTCAGGCCTTTCTACTGGAAACGTGCCCAGTGGAATCAGGAGCAGCCTTCATGTCCGAGCCATTACTGGCCATGAAAAGCGGCGCACCGGCTTTCCTTCCTTCCATCCAAGCGCCACATCAGCCGCCATCAGCAACAGGCTCGAGAAACAACGGAAACACGCTAAGGAGCTCACGGAGGAAAACTTTCGGAAAAATCCGTGTGGAAAGGAAGACTGATGTCGCCTATGTAATGCAATGCTAAGCTGTAATGCACGCCAATAGCATGCTTCTGCTGATGGCATCCCAAACAGCGCTAGCCTCGGCATTTTGTCACAGCATCTGGTGACATGTTTGGTTCCCGTGGGGACCCGGTTCAGTGCCGCCTGCTCTCCGATTGAGTCACACAAGCCAAGCTATATACACAACAGCCAATGGAAATGGAGTGGCCAAGGCATGGAGTTGCAGTGTGTGATGCAAAAGCATGCATTTGGCTGCACACAGACCAGTCTCAATGGAATTGGAGTGCGGTGGTTTGCCTCACATGTTATGAGATTGGCTCCCCACTTTGATAAGGATTTCAACAGCACAAAATGGGAGTACTGTGCCACTAATATATCAATCATGTGATCTATAACAGGAATGTCAATAATTTATGAATCTGATGCCCTCCCCCCCCCCCCCAGCGGCAATGTCCTGTGCATAAAACAAACACCAACAGATGTGATCACACACAGGCACATATCATGCAGACTCACCTCTGGTGTATCTTCCAGGGCACTCTCCAATGGCAGCTTCTGAATATCTGGCATTTTGTACAGCTGCTAGATCTGGGGGTGCAAACCATAGAGATGAGCTGTTTTCAAGCAGTTAGCCTTTTTTAGCACAAGTACATTTCCTAAAATGAGGACTTTGCTTTGTGAGTGACAGTAACTGAGTATGACTAACAACCATAACACAGAAATAATTAATGATTCCACATGTTAGTATAAAAGCAAAAATACTTTGTAAGTCAATACATCATCATCTAAATCACCTAAAATGGATAATGGACATACAGTTCATGTTCGGAGACAGACAGGCTGGGATCATTGGCTCATCAACTGGGGTCATCCACTCAAATCCCACTACTCCCTCCTCCCATGTTTAAGACAGAACTGGTAAAGGTGTCCTGCAGGGGGATTTGAACATGAGTGGCAGTTGGGCTGGTGTGAGGAGCAAGGAGATGTCCAGAGAGCCTTCCATTTGGGTCCCAAATAAAAAAGGGAGGTTTCCAGCAAAAGGACAGATATCCACACTCTACTTGCGGTGTGCTGCATTTTCCGGCATAGTGCCATTTTGCAGAGGAACTAAGCTATTGAGATGGACAAAGTGATAGAATGAGAGAATCAATTGGAGACAATGATTCAGATTTGTAGGACTTAAAACAAGTTTAAAGGGTTATATCTTTTGAATCCAGAAATTGACAAAATAGGGGTGCAAACCATGAAAATAAACATATGAATCTTGAAAGCCAATGCTTCATCCTGATCCCTAACATTCAAATATGTAAACAAATGCATTACTACATACTCCAGACAAAAAACTTCTTCAATTAACTAGACAATGTACATATGTGTGATGCAGGGTTGGGGATGCAGTTCATGCTCCACACCCTGCAAGTCTTGTGTCACTAGCCCTGAGTGCTTCTGAGTGCTATACCATTTTCTACCCATATACAGCTCATGCCTATGATAAAAGCAAGCTTAAATATATATATGCATATCAGCAACCTGGATTCCTGGGGGCCATGAATTTTACATTGACTGTTCAGTGCTCATTGGTGGGGTCTTCAAACAAACAATAAGGCTCAATGAGTAGTATCTATCTAAGCTGCACACAAACAATATAGAAAATGAAGGCTGTTTAGTTTATAGATGCTCAGAAATGGATGGTGGATACACAATGTGGGTACACAAACACAAAAACCTCCCGGGGGGTTATACACGTGTATACCACCACACCCTGTTAACCAGTAAACTCAAAATACTTCAATATCTAAATAACCATACCTTCTACTCCATTAAATCAAAGTTTGCTACATAAGTGTCAGATGTAGGTCAAAATGGATATAAATTGCCATGCCTGCCAGACTCCAGCATGGCACAGAAGAGCAGAAAAACAATGTATAATGTACTTGACTTAAGTCTACCATGACCCTACAAGGTCTAAATTATAAGCATGCAAACAAAGTATTCAAATCCATTTTTAACTGTGGGCACTAACCACCCACCCTCTTGGAGGTTGAACAAACAGTTACCTGTTTTACTGGAGTGAACTCAAGATGTGCTGGACATGCTACAGGCTCTTTATGATTTTGAGAAGAAAACAAATGCATGTACATCAGCAATAATTTTTAACATAAGTCTCCCAATTTCTCATCTCAAAACCTGATAAGTGCCCAAAACTCCCATGTTGAGTTGCTGGGTGTAGTTTTGCAAAATATGACACCAGGGACTAAAGAATGATCAAGCATAACCCCCAAATAAGCACAAAAAACATATTATCCATGAGTTTGGCCCACTTTCTCCTCAAAGTCGGGGATGCTTGGTCCTCGAGCCTGAAAACGAAATTATGCGCTCCATTCATGGCCTAGGACGTCGGAATGTTCATGAATTGTCTGACTGCTTGCTTACTCAGTCTGTGGACAAATTCATTGAATGCTCCTTTCACAAAGCCGAACGCACCTTGTTCCGTGGATGATACCAGACAAAACCGGCTGAAGAAAAAGGTTTAATTTTAGCAAGCCGAGATATTTCTACGAGTTCAAACACGAACCCCACTCCACAACCTTCCTGCTTCCTCTGTTGACGTCCGTCGCCTGTTGGTGTGTGACGTGTTCTTCGATAACCGCGGTAGATAGAAATTCTAGGATTCTCCCAATCTAGCGATTTTCTAGTGAATACCTCATTTTAGCTAGAAAATCCTTTAGAAGTATTTGCATGCACTGAAGAGAATTGGCATCCATTTTGGTGCTATTTGGAGGATATCGCTACTCTCCATTGAAACGGATTTCAGTAGACAGCCTTCGTTCAATATGACGGCAACGGGCGACAGCTGCACTGATAGTAGAGTTTGGAAGGCGTGGTCTGCGACGTTTCCAGACCTTACGTGACGAAATAGGCAGTCGACGACCTTGTCGTCGGCGGATATCCTTCGATTCGGAGACCTTGGAGTACGCCTGTTCTGGGGAGGCGACGGTAAATTTCGAGTGCGTCCTCCTTCCGGTCTCCGAGGTTTGATTGCTTGCCCGTAAAGCAGCTACTTCCGGATAGGTAAATAAGCCACAGAGTACTGGTAATTTTTTTGAGCGTTGAACCCAACAGCTAATCATAGCATCCAGATTCCCTGACTGCGCGTTGTTCGATTTGGCTCTGAAAGTGAAAGGACCACGTTGATGTGGAAGCGAGTGGTGTTCCATTATTTCCCTGAAGAAAAGTGTAAGCAGTGTGCCAATGCATTAAGTGTAAGCAGTGTGCCAATGGGAGTGCAGTATACAGCACTCCCAGTCCCAGATGAATGGCTGATATTAGGACTGAACAGATTGATGCCATAAACCAAGATAGAGCATATCCAAAACTCATCCAGGACCAGTCTACCAGTCTACCAATCCAACATAAATCTGTATCCTATATTTGTGGTTATTGATATATGCAGATGGTCCTAGGCATAGTTATAGGAGGTCCCCAGACCACCAGAGAAGTGGCAGCTTCAGCCTTGCTAAGGCAGTGCCACAGTGCCTTAGATGAGGTGCATCAACCCAAGGTGAAGGATCATTTCCAAGCATTTTGGCAGATGGTATCCCATGCCCAAGTACAGGTGGTCTTCCATCTCTTAGCAAAGAGGTGCATCTGAATCAAGGAAGAAAGGTGCCTACAAATGCATGCAGAGAAGTGCCCCAAATCAGGGATGATGAAGTACCAAACAGATGAGGCCCTCAAGCCCACATCCAGGAATCCTGGGCTTCAATCTCTGGGTACCTCTGTATCCAGGTAGAGAGTAACCATAGACACAGACAGAGGTCTAGCCTAGGTGTATGCAGAAGTCCATTTCTTAAAATAGATATATAAATGGCAATAAGCATAGATAGGGAGGCACCCCAGATGCATGATGAGGTGCATCCTAAGCCCAAGCAGAGGTTAAAGGTTTCAGGTTATGGAAAAGCAGCCACTCACAGCATGCACAAGATGTGACAACTCAATAGACAACAGGATACCTATAACAACATGGGGGGATTTATGCTCCAGGTCTATGTAAGGGGTGGCCCTCAGATACACAAAAAACATAAAGGAGGGTGACTCAGGTCAAGACAGAAGGACATTCCAAGCTGAGGCAAAAGGCCCCAGTGTTTAGGTGAATGTAGCTCTAGATCACAAGAATTTAGTGATTTCTATTAGCAATTTTTGTATTTAATACTATCAAACAGAGCAATGATATCCCTAAAAAATCAGCAGCATCTAGAAACAAGTTTTAAAGACCAGGTGTAGGGGTGGGTCAAGGCTTAATACTGCAGAACATATTGGTGTATGGGTGTGAGTGGAATTGAAGGAAATAATATCAGGGGCCTCTATAAGAAGGAACCAAGCACTCCTAGTGGTGAAGTGGGCAGCCAAAACCCAGGCAAGGTAACTCAGGACTAGCTGTGCCTGTTAGCCTTAGGAGATAAGCAGCACAGAGAGCTGAAACAGCATGCTTGGAGATGAAGGCAGAGAACACCTTGAGGTAACAGGTTGTCACACCTGAGGCCAAGGATGGAGCATGTAAGGGAAAGAGGCAGGCATGTGAGCAGGAATGCACATGGACTGTGTGAAGGCAGTGACAGTGTGTGTGAGCAGAGCAAGCCACCCATAGGATAGTGACTGCCTCAAAGGGCATGATGTAGCAAAGCTTGTTGATGTTACTGCTAACAACTAAAGGAGACAGTATTAAGATGGGTGCAATGTTTGTTTTAACCACAGGCCCTTCTGTAGGTGCAGGAATGCACTGACAGGTGCCCCCACCATTGGTAAATTGAAACTTCATTGCATGAATAAGTTAAAAACATTAAGAGACATCAAGAAAAGCCTGGCTGAAGTGAATTCCACTGGACTGGGAACTGAGACTGAGAATATCACCATAAGAAGGCACAATGCTGATGCCAACTACATTTACTTTTCTGGGTGGTGTTGGACAGACATAGTATGTTTGCTTTCTGCAGCCAGATGAGATAAGTATAGCTCATCATGTGAACAAATTCCACCTACTGCCCCAGACACTTGCTTTGCTATAAGACAGGTGTCCCAGCTGTTTGAACACTTCACCTGCCAGTGCAGAATGGCTAGATGTGCAGTCCACCTCATTTGAACTCTGTTTCCATGGCATGCTCCTGATAGAAACAAGAGGTGCATCATTCTACAAAGCATGCCCTATATATTGTACATATGCAAGACAAAGCATGCAGTATAAGGTGTATTGCATTTTGTAATTTTTATGTATGAGATAGGCACATTGCATACTGCTGCTTTGCTGGGATCCTGTCTTTCCCTCCAAAAATGTGTTTTCTGCCTAAAAGATGCACCATTGTGTTTTAGGGAACTTTTGGGTGAGACTCAGGTGCCATGAAGCATCGGCGAGGGTCATCAGCTGGAAGTGGTGGATTGTCTTTCAGCATTCTTGGTTTTCATTCAGCATTCAGCATTCTGCAGGCTCGATGGATATTCCTGGGAGGCTGAAAGAAGAGGAGGATGCTGCTGCCATTATTGGCTCCCCCAACATCACGAGTGCTGCCGAGGCGGCAGAACTGAAGGAGCAGGATGCTGAGGGCCACAGACTTAATACACCATGGACCATGTGGTTGGATAAGTGAGTGATAAGTGATAAGTGAGTTTGTGATAAGTGATAAGTAAGTGATAAGTGATAAGTGAGTTTTGCAGAAGTATCTGTACATACATGCCAGATAAGGGTGGTAATCTGAACAATTATGCTAACTATGAGTGATGTCTTTAAAGTGGCAGTGATCATTAAGTGATCAGTCCTTTATTTCATACAATTGTTTCATGCATTTTCCTTGTACCTGTATTATCTGACACATCGAATGCTGTTTATTTGTTGTATCATTAGTCATATTAAAAATTATTTCATAATTAATGCCTTGAACCTACCTTTCAATTTAAACTAGTCTGGCAATTTGCCAGACGTCAGCCAGCAGTCACGTAGAGCACGCGTGCCTTGCACCCGTGCAGCAGCTGAGCGGGCCGCGTTGCTCGCCGCCAGGACGGAGCGCGGCGTCAGCGCCGCCGAGTACCAGGCCTCGCTGAAGAAGGTGTACACCATGACGACGGTGGAGAGCTTCTGGGCCGTCTACAAGAACATCCCGGACGTGCAGGAGCTGAACACGCGCTACACGTACCACATGATGCGCGACGACCGCAAGCCCCTCTGGGAGGAGCCGCGCAACTCGCGCGGCGGCACCTGGAAGGTCAAGTGCCGCAAGGAGGACTCGGTGAGGAGTGGGCCGAGCGGGCGGGTACGCGGACCTCGCGAGCGGGCCCGCTGTGGCGTGGGAGGACAGCGGCTGACGGGGCGTGGAGATACTTGTGGCTCGTTGAAAACAAGGCCAGTCCAATAAGGTAGTTGGAGTGGCTAATCTAGTGGTAATCTAGTGGTAGTCCAATAATCTAGTGGTTAGGCCGCGCCTGGGAAACCCAAGGCATGGGATTCGATTCCCCGCGGTGCCCGGCCTTCCTACCAGAGTGGGGGGGGGGGGGGGGGGGGGGTGGGGTAGGCGATGTTATAAAGCCCCAATAGCTGAGTGCGTTATTAAGCTCCAATGACACCAAAAGCTGAGAAGGTGACGAGGCTGGTTTTGTGGTGATGACATTAAGGTCCAGGTTTCTTTGCATGCCTGAAACAAAATTAGCTAGTTCGGAAGCGTTTGCTGTTCTCTGACTGTCCAGTGTGATAACGCTATCAGATCTTACCTTGTCACTGGCTTTTCGCCCCATTTGTTACACAGATCGGCGATGTGACGCCCCTCCCGAACACGTGTCCATGCCATTCTGTACGTTACGAGTTGCCTGGCCCCAGCTGAGCCGTAGCCACACCACACTGTGGGGCGGAGCACGGGCCGGGCCGCGCCGCCGCCACACAACTGCGCAGCTGATTAGCTGGTCTGCGGGGCTCTCTGGGTGCCAGCCCATGTCGTTTGCCGCATCTCTGTGAACTCTACAGGCCATCCGTCGTGCTCAGGTGTGGCCCGCAGCCGCGCTGTGTTGCGTGTACGGGTCGTTGCAGCTTGAGTGTGACTCGATTGATGTTCCAGTCGGAGGTGTGGAAAGAACTTCTCCTAGCCTGCATCGGGGAGCAGTTCGATGATTTCGTGGCCGAAGATGACGACATTTGTGGAGTTTCTATTTCGGTGGGTTCCGGCTCGGTGTTGAGTGTACGTGTTTGTGATGTTCTGTGTATATTTTGGCCGGGTATTGCGTGTTGTACACTGTAACAGTAACGATATTTTAGTCGACTCTCTGCCATGCTTTGAGATAATTCATTTACTTGACTGGCTGCTGCATGCTCTTATGAAAGCATGAAGCCGTACAGCCAATTACCAGAGCTACCGAACGTTTGAAGCGAGGTATTGTTACAGACGGCGTAATGTTCTCGTCTGCTGTGTTAGTATCCGCGTAACGTTTGGGCCAGTTAATTCTCCTGTCCTTGTCAGGTGTTTTTGGGCCCAGAGAAGGATGGTGCGGTGTTTGGCTTTCAGCTAGGCATGCGTCACATCCTAAACTTTCCCCGTGAAATTGCTGGGATTCGAAGCAGGGTCTTTTGCTTACTAGCCCAGCGCTTAACTACCAAGCTCCACTCTTCTCAGTAAGCCCAGTGATAAAATATTATATTCACAATCGGAAGAGGAACCTCGTACGCATAATCGGAAGATCTCGGTTCGAACCCCAGTAATTCCACGGAAAATGGGCCTGCAGCGTAAACACGACTGAAACCCAGGCACCCTCCAGCCCTTCCCAGCACTCAATAGCACTTACCCACGGCCGGAGAATTAACTAACCGGAACCTTGTGCAGATATTAGCACATCAGACGAGGACGATGATCTGAACAATGACTATCTGACCAACCCATGGTATTTGCCTTACCGTTCTTTGTGATCCGTAAGCTGTTTTTTCTTCTGACGACTGCATTGTGGCAAATTGTCGGTACCGGGGTCTGGCTCTGATCAGTAGTTAATGCCCATGCATCAACAGGGCACCGGAATGGGGTCAATCGAGCTGATGTGCAATTTGTTCTCGCTCCGCTGAATGCTGGGGCACGCGTGTTTCAGTGTCACAGTCACATGGTTGTCCCGCATCATCGGTGGCTGACCGAATTTCTTTTCGACCTGCTCGGAAATTTAAATAATGTCACGTCATCTGCGTTTAGCTGGAAGGGCGCTGAGTTCTCGCATTTTGTTGTCTGTATATTATGGACATTTCTCTGCCACTGCTTCTCCCCACACTCGGAGTACGCACGCATGCTTTTCTACCGCTCCCAGGTACCATCGGTGTCCCACTCTGCCCCCCCCCCTCCCCCCGCCAGATCCCACTGTTCTGCAGCGCCAGATCCCACTGTTTGACATCCCCAAGTCCCCGCTGTTCCGCAGCCTAGATCCCAGCCGTTCCGCAGCCCAGATCCCACCGTTGCGCAGCGCCTTTCAGTGGCTTGGGCCGTGCTGCTGGCAGGTGCGCGACCGGGACGACCTCATTCAAATCTGGAACACCAATGCCGCGCGACAGGAGGAGGCCAAGGTCATCGAGAAAGTGAGGCTGCTCGTGCCCCGCGTCAAGTTCACGGCCATATTCTACAAGCGTAAGCAATGCTCGCTTCTGCACTTCTTAAAATGACGGCGGACCCACGTTGCAACGGGAACAGCGATCTTTACTTCTTCATGATGACCTGCATAACTCACTCTGAGCATGTCACACATACGTCATTTTCAGTGTCAATATTATATATTTCACGAAAAAGAGGCACAGTATAGTGTCTTTTTTTGTCCCGCGATACTCCTCCGATCTTTTGGTTGCTGTGCTTAATACATCCTGCCCTGTGCGAGCGGTTGTTATCCTGCGCGCTTCCGCCCCGTTGCCCTTTCCTGCTCGGCCATCGCCGCTCTTCCGACTTTGACCCGCCCTCTGTCGCAGGTCACGAGACCCACCACGCCTTCGAGGGGACTAACTAGAGACGACCGAAGGCCGCGGCGACGCAGCTGGGAGGTCCGCGGGCCCGTGTGCCAAACGGCGGTGTCCGCCTCCGCCGGAGAGAGTGCGCCCGGCGCTGGAGGCCCGCCGGCAGCCGCGCCGGGCCTCGCGGGCCAGGCGCGCGCCCGGGATCCCGCGCGGTCGGCGCGGCGCACAGGGCCCATCATCGCCGTCTTCCGCCAGGCCGGCCGGGGAGGACGGCTGCCAGGCCTTCGGTCGGTCGGTGCGCCGGCCGCACGTGGGGTAATCGTTTGCTTTGGTATGCTGTCGAACGCTTTTGGCGGGCAGCCGCGGCCGAGGAGCGCTCGTTGTTATATTGCCAACAGCGAGAGGACGCTATTTTTATATCGCTGAGATAACTCGCTGTTATGAATGCTGCATTGGTCTCGGTGTCCGGAGCGGTATGATATAAGCCCACGTGCTGCCACTCAGACGGGAGGGGGCCGCCCTTCAGGTCCTGTTCAGTCCCTCCACCCGAGTCGCCTCGCTATCAGTACCAGGATTTGGCCGATCAAAGTTCAATTCCACCACTGCCGTTTTGACTAGAGGGGTGCGTTAAAGACTCAGAAGCCGGAAAAGGCACTGTCGTGGGACGGCACACGAGATGGTCTAGTCCTGTCTTCTCCTCGCCGTGAGTCCGCGGCAAAAGTATGTCGTATTTTGCATGTGTACGCGCGTCTGTTTCTATTTTAACTCAGAAGTTTGGAAAATTGTTGGGTGCTGGCAGCCCCACCGCTGTCCGAAAGCCAGCTGCTTGGCTAGGGGGTTGTGTACATGCGGAGCGGGAGTGCAGCTCTGTAACGGCGGCTGCGTCGTGTCGTCGGGTTGGGAGCAGGGGCGGGAGCGGGATCGGAGCTGGAGATGGAACTGCAGCTGGAGCGGGAGCGGGGAGCTGGAGCTGGAGCTGGAGCTGGAGCTGGAGCTGGAACGGGAACGGGGAGGCAGGGAACGGGAAGCGGGAGGCGGGAGCGGGAGCGGGAGCGGGAGCGGGAGCGGGAAGGGGAGGGAAGGAGGAAGGGCGTTGGTTTCCAGTCTGTCAGACTGGGCGGCTCCAATGAGCCGCGATGCCCAGGTCGAGGCGGCGTGTGTGTGTCACGCATGTGTTCGGCCTGAACCAGCGTCCATTACGCTCACACGTGGCTGCCGCAATCGGTAAGACGAATGGGATCTGCATTGTCGACACACACCCGCGTGGGACACATTGTCCTGACTCATTCCACGACCGACCGATGGGAGGAGCGTAAAGTTTCGCACAAGTCTTGCATATTATTACCTATTTTTTCGGAAAGTCCGACGTTTCTCAAGCGGTTTTGCACAGAACGCATATTTTTAGTAAGTCTTAAGAACGGTGACCTGCACCTTAGTTGACGCGCTTTTCGCACATTTGCTCTCCGGTTTTCGGGCCAACCGGCACAGATGACGAGGTGACGCAATCGGTGGATGGCGTAAGGACGGGGAGCGTAACACTGCGGTCAGGCAAGCGGCGCGTGGTGGCGCGCGGGGAACGATCGGAGCGGGTGGCGAAGTGGAGCGCCCGTTCCACAACACCTCAGCGATATACGTCCGATCAATATCAGCCCACCTGCGGAGGCAGCTATGCTGGCACGCCAATGCCTGGGCAACTGACGGCGTGGATTGTACCGCGGAAACGATAGCCCGGTGTGCGGGTGAGAGGTTCGAAGCCGCATCGGAATGAACACAGCAGGCTACTTTAGCAAAGAGCTTTTTTCGTTCCACAATAGGCCACGATGGGGGCTCGTCAATCCTGATCAGTACCGAAACAGTGGGTCACCCGTCCGGCGGTACCTGGGGACAGTACAGCGTTGCCGCAGTGATGTGATAGCGGACCGTATTTCCGTTGGCGCCCTGGTGGACGTGGGGTGGGCCGCCAGTGTGTGATGGCAACAGGAGACCATTCCTCCAGCGGCGCTCTGGTGACAGTGAACCGTCTCGTCAGTGGTGGCCGGGTGATTGTGGATTGTCCCTCCGGTGGTGCCGTGGGGCAATAGACCGTCCCAGTGGTGCCCTGGTGACTTGTTCCTCTACTGTGGGCGCTCTGGCGAGAGTTTGTCACTCTAGGGGTGGTCTGGGACAATACCTCTCTTGTGCCCTGGTGACAGAACACTCCCTCCATTGGTGTCTCGGACAGCGGACCATCCCCGAGTGGGGCTCTGGTGACGGGAAGCCGTGCCTCCATTGGTGTCCTGGTGATCTGGCCTCGTTGGCGGAGGTCAGTAGACATTCATACTCGCGTCACCAGCTCTTGCTGTTTAGCATTGATCTTGGAGGCTGCTTCGTATGAGGAGATGCATGTTATTCGGGACTACGCGGCCTTGAAGTGTACCTTTCGGGGGTGCGGGTCGACCGGAAGTGTACCTTTCG